GCAGGGGGACCCACAGCAACTATCCTACCCCCTCATTTCTGTGACAGTTCTGGCAGCAGCTCCCCAATTTTCCTGCTCACTTCCAGGCTTCCATCACTGCAGGGTCACTGCTGCTTGCCTGGGAGCTGCTCCCAGCCCAGGGTGCCCTGATTTTGGATCAGCTTGTGCTACAGAGCAGGGCACCCCCGAGATCCAGGGCACAAGCACAGCAGAGCAATGGGAACCCTTGAAAGTTGCATCCCTGCTGATCCCATTTCCATAGGAGGGTTTTGGCAGGCAGAAACAAGATTATGGAAGGGACATGAGCTGCTTTGTGAGGTCTTATCTGATGTAACCACTGCATTCTTGATATGGATTTTTGATGCTGATCACAGCTGGCAGTAGTTGGAAGGGAGGTTTGCCCACTCTCCCCAAAACCAAATTCCTGCAGGCATGTCAGGAATCTCCCTATTTTTATTTTTTTTTCCCCTAAACTCAACATAAAGAGAACAGGTCTAACTGTATTTTATTTCTGGAAGCTGGAGAAATTATTGAAGCCATCCTTCACAAGGAAGAATCAACCTCAGCAAAATTAAAGAGATCCCTCCTTTCCTGAGAGGCCTGAGTATACCAGAGATGCAAAAAATGCCTCAGTGCATAAAAACCAAACATTTTTAACCAGACATTCACCCTTGGCCATGATGTGGCATCGTAACAGAGCAAACGATGGAGCAGCAGGGCAGTAAAATCAGCATTTAACAGGGTCTTATTCCCAGGAAATATGCTGGACAAGCAGGGAAAAGAGGCAGGGGTGGAAGATGCTTGGAAACCCAAGCACAGCCAAGGCAGCAGATCCAGGCTCAGCTGACCTTGCTGTTGTTGTAAAATAGGAATGACACCTTGCACAGGTAATTACAAGCACTTAAACCCTCATCTGCATTCCACACAATGCAGCCAAGGAATAAACATAATTACCTCCTTGTCTGGAGCTGCTGCCCGGGTTAACCTCCCACTAGCCCCAGTTAAAATGACTAATGTTTAAAAACCTTAAATCCACTGCTAAATCCAGGGTTTAGAAAGTCCCCAGTGGATCCCTACCATGCCCAGTTTTGTTGAGGGGGACCAGCTAAACATCCCAAAGCCCAAACATCCAAACAATCAAATTTATAAGAACATGTAGGACACAGGACAAAGGGGAATGGCTTCAAACTGACAGAGAGCAGGGTCAGAGTGGATATTAGGAAAATTTTTTTTTACTTTGAGGGTGGTGAGGCCCTGGCTGCCCAGAGATGTTGTGGCTACCCCATCCCTGGAAGTGTCCAAGGTCAGGCTGGGGCTCTGAGGAACCTGGGATAGTGGAAGGTGTCCCTGCCATAGCAGGGAGTAAAACAGGACATCCTTTAAGGTCCTTTCTAACCCAAACCATTCTGGGATTCTATGAAAAAGGGAAGTCAAAACCAAGAGAAAAGCAAGGTAAAAAAAAGAAGATGGATATAAGAGAAAGCTTCCTGGGGGGAAACCAACCTCTACCTTCTGTTGACTAAGAAAAAGAGAGTTTTGCAATTTGTTTGGGATAATTCTCTGCCTGTTCCTAAGCCCAGCCAGGACTGATGTACAGCAAGAGCCCAGCTGGCAGTGGCTGGGGCAGAGCAAAGTGCTGGGAACTTTCCACACCATGACTTTCTTGTGCTGATGCAAGTTGGTGCAAGACCACTGGAGCTGGTGGAGGTTGTGTCTATTTATATCCCTGGAGGATCTGGCTGATGAATCAGCCCCTTGCTGTGGCTGGAAAATACTGCCTCACCGGGAAAATCCCACTGCCAGACACACAAAATCTCGATGGTGAGGGCAAAGAGCTTCTCTTCCAGCTCCTGAGCAAATTCACTTCTAGTCCCTCAACAATGGGAGCTCACTCCAGCCCTTCCACCCTGCTCGGCTCAATTGAGGCTGTCAAAACATTTCTTATGGGGTCTTTCCTACCGGTGTTTCTTTTGTCTCTGCCTCTCCTTCCTCCAGGCTCTTATCTGCCTGCACATGTTCTGCCTCACCAGAGGAGCACCATAACAAACCCTGATTTATGGCCCGCTTGGAAAACACGATGACGTCCAGGGCTCCCTTTGAATTCCTTCACGTTTGCAAAGTTTAGATGTTGTCCCAGGAGCTGCCAAGGAGTCCAGAGCAGGAAATCAGCAGGGTAAAAAAAAAAAAAAAAAAAAAAGGAAGATAAAGATAAGGGGGCTGCTGGGGCTGGGGCAAATCCCCTACCATGTGTTTTGTTTTCATGCCTTCTCATGGTTTAAAACTGGAGTAGAAAGGTTCTTCTTCAGCTTCTTGTCCCCCTTTTCCTTATCCCAAAAAAAGGCAGCCTCGAGCAAAAGTGATTGTTTTCCTAATGAAAATTAGGCTAAGGGAAGGAAGGCACCTGAAGCACAGTTTTCATTTGATATTAAGTCTGTTTTTAAATTAAGTTGGTAATGATTCCAGAGCCCTGGTTACATCACATCCCCGACCAGGCTGAAAAATCCCAGGGACTGGGAGCTGTATCTGCCCATGCAGTGGGGACCTTTGGGGAAATCCCTGCACAAAATTCCTCCCTCCCCACAAGGGGAGAGCTGACACATGGGGCACATGCACCCCACAGATCCCCCAAGCTCTGCCTCACCAAGCCAGGAAAAAAGAGACATCCCTTGGAGTCATCACAAAATAAAATCAGGGTGATGATATCAGCTCATTCCCCAGCGAGCAAAGCTATTAGAAAGACACCAAAATTAGCCCTGAAAGTAAGTTTCGTGGAATTTATTGCATGACCCTCATGTGACAGGAAAACTCATCTTTTGTCTCTATTTTGCACTCAAATTGCAAAACTGCAGCTGTGCACTCAGCAGTAACTTGGTCTGGGCTGTTCTGCCAGGCGGGGACAGTCGAGGGTCTCTGCTTTCACCTGGTGCTTGGGGTTTTTTAGAAGGTGGAAGGGTCTTTTCTCAGAAAAGACACAGTGCAAACCAAATGATAACTCAACCTGGAGCTGGCATATCCAGTGCACTCACACTGAGGCATTTATGTCTCTGTGACCAGGCCATAAAACACAGAATTTTCCCCATTTGCCCTGCTCTCCCAGCCCTGCAGGGCCACAACCCCAGCAGTGCTGCAGCCTCTGCCCCACTCACCTCACCAGGAGCAAACCTGAGTTCCCTCAGGACACTCTGCAGCAAGAAAAATTAATGGATCCCCCAGGGAAGGACCGTCTGGCTGAGGCTGGAGAGCTTGTGATGCCGTTTTGGGCTACCTAAAAACAGAGGCCAGACAAAACTGAGGGAATAAAAAGCAGATCGGTTTATTGTAGGGCCTTCAGGTACATTTAGGGCAGACAAAGTGGATATGGGTTTTCACACTTTTATAGGTTTGGTCCATTTGCATATTGGGGGTAAAAGCCAGGGAATCTCAGGAAAACGGAAAGCTGGACAAGACAAACACAGATCTGAACCAATGTGGTTAATCAAACGTTCTCCCTTTATTCAAGATAAGGTGGTAGTTTATATAAGCTTCTACATAGTTTACAGAAACAAAGACACTCTGATTGGCAAACTAGTATTGTTTACCTTTTCCTTAAAACAGCCTACACCTTACACTATAAAACCTATACTAATTCACACCCAGACAGCCCAGTGGTCCCCATCACACCTTAATACTATTTCTATCTGCGCCACAAGCTCTGAATTTCTGACTGCATCAGAGGCTTGAAGGCCCACAAGGCCCAAATCTGAGGCCTAGACTGGAGTAGCTCAAATTTCATAACTCATGTCCTCTTTCTCTCAAAAATGCTGCAACAGGGGGTTAATCTTCCAATTACAGCTTCAGGTAATGAAGTCATTAACCCCAAGTTTGCTCCCCATAAAGTCACTTTTGTTTACATTTCTCAGGGCCTGAGACATTGAGGTGCCCTGGATTCCCAGGCCTGGAGAGGAATTGTGTTGTCTGACCAAAATGGGACAGAAAGAGCTCACGCTGTATATGGAATTTAGAGCTATACACTGAAGAATTGCAGGATTACAAATACATAAAAACCAGAAAAGCTCAAATCCTGAAGCATTATTCGTGGCACCCACTGTCACACCCCCTTGGTGGCCGCTTGCCACTTTGCCTGATGTCAGAGATCCCCTGACCGATACAACCGCTCCCAAGAACTTTTCCCCTCAGAAAATCAGAGGGAAGTACAAAAGAAGTGAAGCACAAAGCGCTTTTTCGGCACAGAGTTTTCTTTGGAGAGCAGCTTGTTTGCAGAGAGATGAAAAGCATGGCAAGCATTGCTGCCAATTTGTGAATATGCATCCCTACACATATTTCCAGCCCTGCTCACGCAGCCTTCCCCTTCCAGCTCCCTTGCAGCTCCGATGAATCACAGCCTGCAAACAGCCCCACTCAGGCAATAGTCACGCTGAGTGGCTCATGACTAACCCCCCGAGCAGGAGTTTATTCACAAAGTCTATGCAAATGGCAAACACATCTGTAAGCAGCAGCAGCAGCAGCAGCGCTTTACTCCAGGATAATTTGCAAACAAGAAAAGGGGTTAAGTCTGTCACGCTGATTGCTTACAGAAAGTAGATCACTCAGCCTTAGTCATTTGCATCTCTTTCTGGATTGCAAATCCTCCTGGCACGGAACACAGCAGGCCCTTTCATTTGTTTGCCTGCTCCTCGTCCTCCAGATGTTCAAGTCAGACTTGTTTTCTGCAGTTGTTGGGTTTTTAAAATTTTTTTAGGAGTTCTCAGCCAGATAATGAAACCTACTGCAGTCAATACTTTGCAATATTCAACTCAAATATATACTTGATTTATTACTTGCAGTAGTCAGTCACATACATGCATTAAGCTTTTCCAAAGAAGAAATTCATAGAAAAATATCACAGAATGGCTTGGGCTGGAAGGGACATTAAAAATCATCTCATTTCACTCTTTCCACTATCCCAGGTTGCTCCAAGTTCCATCCAGCCTGACCTTGAACGCTTCCATGGATGGGGCATCCACAATTTCCATGGACAACTTGTTCCAGGGCCTCACCACCCCCATGGGAAAGCATTTCATCCCAATTTCTAACCTAAATCTACCCTGATTCCATTTGAGTTTGTCACATGAATATTCTGCTTCAGCAGCACACAGGGTAAATACTGGAATCCATCTGCAGAAAGAAACAGCAAAGTAAATGATTTGTTTCTCAGCAGCACAATTAATTATTCAGTAGGCTCATGTTCAGTGGGCCCTGTGAAAAGACCTATGTTCAGACTCTAAAAAAGCAACTATACCCCAAAAATACCTTCCAACAGGTCAGAATCAAAACCCAAAATATCTATTCTCAATGCCTCTTGAGTGAATAAGTGCTTAAATATCTCATTTGATGGACTACTGCCCACAGCACTCCACCACTGGACCCCCAAATTTCAGAAACACCAGTTCAAATATCACCTCATGCAAAGGCAAGCTCTTCAAACTCCTTTCCTTTGGGTCTGGAATGGTAACAGCAGCAGTGCATCAATAATGGGTTAATTTAGGCAGGGATTTAACTCAGAGCTGCTGTGCTGAGCTCCTGGAAAACAGAAAGTGTAGGAGGATCCTCCACCCCCGGCAGGAGCAGGTGAGTGAGCAGCAGACACTAAATTTGTGCTAGGTGTGGGTAAAATCAGTAAGTCACCGAGCTGGAAGGCCGAGTGCATCCCCGTTCCTTTGGCTCCTCTTGTGACTGCTGGGGTGCCACCTCTTGTTTCACAGCTTATGCAACATCTTCAGATTCTGTCAGACAGTGTCTGACTGCTGAGCCTGCTCCTGCTGCTGCTCCAGGACACCTTTCCCAATGTTTTCTCAGTGCTTGACTTCAGCATTTTTGGATTACAGGCTACCTGTGCATGTGCTAACCAAATTCAGTCTCCGTGTTCTCCTGTACTGTGAAAAGTTCATTTTTAGGAGCACATTTGCACTTTTTGATTGATATCTTCTGTCCGGAACATCTGTAGACAAAGAATGCCTCTACACACTGCTGTTCATACCATGATTTATTTTTCAGGAAGTTGCTCCTTTCCCTGGATTTGAGATGTTACCAGGAATAAGAAGTGAGCTGCTCTAAAGAGTTGCAGTGAATATTCTGTATATCTTTCAATTCAAGTCCCTCACCTTGCCAATGTCACAAATGAATAGCTGTGATCTTCCTTTGATGCTGACTTGGTCAACAATCCCAAAGGCTGGATGAGATAAATAATTCCCATATAATTCCCACCACATTTTACCCCATCCTCAACATCAAAACTGATGCCCTGTGAAGGCTGAGCTGGAGCAGGGGCTGGGCAGAGCTACAGAATAAAGCAGGGATTTATTAAAGGATCTCCTCCATGGATCCACCTTGGGCAGCACCAGAGCCCAGCCAGGGCTGCACCCAAATGACCCAAAATGGCCCCAAAATGCACGAGCGCTCCCGGGGGCTCTCCCTGGGATCAGTTCTGCTCCATTGGCACCTTGGAGTTCATTGTCCCATTCCAGCTTTAGCCCAGGCAGTCCCACCCTGCTTGTTTTTCTCTCTCCAGCCCACGCTGTTTGTGCTCCTGGGCTGAGATTTGGATCATTTGTCCTTGGTGCCCAGCTGGAGCAGGAATTGTTTTGTCTCCCTGCTCTGTGCACAGAGCTCAGCATCCCATAATGTGAAGCCCAGACCCACAGACTAAAGCAGCACAGAATCTGAAAAACATAAAAGCTAAAACCTGAGGCATCACAAAGGCTTGGAGTGGCAGAGGATGAGATTTTCAGGTAGCAGATCATGGAAAGCCTGTACTCCTGATCCCCCTCACTGGATGTAATTTCAGATGTTTGGCAATAGTAGGTTAATGCCTGGTAGCTACAGCAGGCAGCTGGCAGCTTTTCTGGCTTTAGAGAGCAGGGATGAAGGCTACATCCAGCTTTCAGGATCCCCTAGAAATGTTCAGGCAGGTGTGAGCAAGAGCTGCTGCCTCATCTCACTGACTTCCCTAGTAGCATCCTCAAAGATAATAAATTGTGCTCCAGGTGAGCCTCCTTCTCCTTAAGGACTCACTTTTAATTACCAACTACTAAATAAAGCCATTTTCACTCATTTCAGCCACCAGAACACGTAGATAATGTAACACATAAATAATCTGGCAATATAGACACAAGGAGATGGAGATGCTGATTTAGACATGGGTGTATTCCTTTGGAAAAGGTGCTACATCCTTACCATGAGGATAAAAACACATAATATAGGATTTATGTGACCCAAAAGTGGCAATAAAAGAACTGTATATGTTCTAAACCTTTTGTGTATGACAGGTTGATAAAAGATCAGAAGTTATATGAGCAGGGTGTTTATTTTCTGCTTCTCCAAAAATGTAACTGTTGATACTCCTGATCCACTGACATAAACAGCTTTTCCTACTTCTCTTTGTTCCTGACTGGTTTGAATATTTGGAAATTATTTTGGAATTGTGTGATGTAGCCAGTTAGACCTGATGATTTTATTCCTAACTAAATCAGACAACACTGGAACACCCAGTGCCCCCCCTGCCATGGCAGGGACACCTCCCACTGTCCCAGTGCTCCAAGCCCCAAATCCAACCTGGCCTTGGGCACTGCCAGGGATCCAGGGGCAGCCCCAGCTGCTCTGGGCTCCACCCTCACAGGGAAGAATTTTTCCCCAATATCCCATCTAACCCTTTCCTCTTTCAGCTTAAGGTCATTCCCTGTGCCCTGTCCCTCCATGCCCTGGAAATTGTCTCTCTCCAGGTTTCCTGGGGCTCCTCCAGGCCCTGCAAGGCCACCCTGAGCTCACCCCAAAGCTTCTCCTCTCCAGGTGTGTTGTTGCAGGCCCTCAGCTGTGGACTATCTAAATATCTAAATAAATATCTAAACAAGTATTTAAATATCTAAATTAGCATTGACTCCATGATTGCAGAAGGCTGATCAATTGCTTTATTATATCATCTTATACTATATTATAATATTCTTATTAAAAAACTCAGTAACTCTTACAGGCCGTGTAGCTTTGACCTAATTGGTCAATCAATCCAAACACCATCTATTGTCTAATTAAGAAATCACTTTTTGGCAAGCACATCTCCATGACACATTCCACAACAGCAGGTGCAGCAAGTGGAGATAAGAATTATTTCTCATTCTTTTCTCTGATCTTCTCACAGACTTCCCCAGGAAAATGTCTGGTGTAAAAAACACCAATCACTTTGGTTTTTAAAATCTTAAAAGTTTATTAGCAATAAAATAGTTATAAAAAATAGTGATAAAATTAGAGCAATAAAAATTTGGACAATGAGGATTAGGACACTACAAGACAATAAAAAGCAAAGAAAGAGATCCAGATGTCTTTGGGCACTGAGCTGCCAAATCCATGCCTTGTGAACAAAGGAATAAACCTTAAAAGCAACAGCCTGTTGCATATTCATACATGATGCAGAAATTCCTTGCAAATTAAGAACTTTTCTGGTTTTTGTCAACTTCTTCCCCTTAATCCTGGTGGTTCCATAAAGACAGAGAGAAGGTGGAAGAATGTTTGACTTTTCTGATGAGGAGGCTGTAACTCTTCAGGTTTTGTGTTGCTGTTATCTCTGTGCAAAGTTTCTTGATTATCTTATCCATTTCTTGAGCTAGTAAATAATATCTTACATTGCAGAGTTTCTATTTTAACATTATGTTGTAACCTAAAACTATATTTAACACGCTACTTAAAATTATTAATACAGTACTACAAAATAACCCTCCAAATACATACAGCATTCAATTTAATATTTGCGAAGAGCCAATGACAAAATACATATTTTTCACACCTGGGAAAGTCTGTGCCTGCTCTCTGTGGCCAGAGCTGCTGCCACCCAGGTGAAAAACCTCAGCTCTCCCAGCAGAGCTGCTCCATCCCTCTGAAGATCCAGATGAAACCCTTGCTCAGAAGGAAGGCTGCAGCCACGCCGTGTGTCGGGGTGGTGCTGTGGAGATGGGATGGAAAATGCAGCACCCTCAGAATCACAGAATAATGAGATTGGAAGAGACCTCTAAGATCAAGTCCAACCTATGCCCTAACACCTCAACTATAGCACCAAGTGCCATATCCAATCTTTTTTTAAACACATCCAGAGATGGTGATTCCACCACCTCGCTGGGAAGACAATTCCAGTACTTTATTATTCTTTTGTCAGAATCTGTGATATTTAAATGATCCCAAGATTGTAGAAAGCCTGTCAGCCCCGTTGCCAAAGAGAAGCCATAATTCGTCTGTGCTGGTTTCAAGGTTGTTTATTCTGTTTATCTCTAACATGTTCTGCTGCCCTGCCGCAGCTCTGTCCTGCAGGGCAGCGTGTGGGGCTCTGCCCTCAGTGGGATGTTACAAACATTAAATACCACAAACTACATGTGCTGTATTTACAATAACGTGCCAATATCTGTCACCTACGTTGGACAGTGTGTCCCCAGCCTAAACCAACAGAAAAATACCAACACTACAGTGTTGGCATTTTCTTCCCTGTGAGGGTGGTGCCCAGAGCAGCTGTGGCTGCCCCTGGATCCCTGGCAGTGCCCAAGGCCAGGTTGGATTTGGGGCTGGAGCAGCCTGGGACAGTGGGAGGTGTCCCTGCCATGGCAGGGGTGGCACTGGGTGGTCCAGTGCTGTTTGATTTAGTTAGGAATAAAATCATCAGGTCAAACTGGCTACATGGAGGACATGAAGAAGAAGAAAAAGGACAAGAAACACCCAATTCCTCCATCTTGTCCCCTTTGGACCCCTATTCTAGAATCCTAAAATTTTCCTTTTGCACCTGTGCCACACTTAATTATTACTGATATCAAACACTCAGAGCTTGTAATTCATCCTGTAAGATTGAAAACTCTTTTCCATGGACAGAGATCACAGCCAGTGTCTCTGGGGGCTCTGTCCAGGGGGGTTCCTGACCCCTGCCAGGGTCCCAGACCTGCCAGGGCAGCCAGAGGGATGCTCTGGATTCCCACATTATTTCGGTGAAAATTTTTTTTCCTAACATCCAACTTATACCTTCCCTGACATAGCTTGATACTAAAACCCAACACCTCCAAAGCTCCCTGTGGTCCCTGCCAGGCTCTGTGTGCCAGGGAATTGGCTGGAGCAGCCGGGCTGGATGGGGACAGGCACAGCCCCAACCT